ATTTTCGGAGACCTATTTATTGTCTATGTTAATTTTCTATATTACAGTTTCTAATAAATTTGTAATTCTTATAAATGATAAACAAAAAAAGTTTTAGTAAATTTAAAGTTTGTGAAAATATTTTTCAAAATGGAACACTTACCATATATTTTTAGGTCTCAATTTTTTATTTTTCGGGTGTTATTTAAGCCCGGGTCAGGCCATTTTGGCACCCTAAACAAAAATAAAGCAAAAATTACCTCTGTCATTTTCTCGTCTTGTAGTACCTTCGCTTTTGTCATATTTATAATAAGTGTTTCTTTATCTTCTTCGTTTAATTCTTTTAAATTTTTATTTTTGGAAACATCATTCTTCATTTTTTCAATAATTTTAATTAACTCTTTTTCAACATAATAAATAAATTCCTTTTCAAAATAATTTTTAAAATTTTTTCTTTGATTATTCAAAGAATTATTAATTTCTTCAAATTCTTTAGTTATTCCAAATATTAATTTAAAACTAATATTTTTAATTAATTCTAGAATTTTTGTTTTAAAATTGTCTAATTTTTCTTTGTTTTCATTAAAATTATAATCCATCATATTTTTAATATGTGATCTTAACTTAATCAAAATTCCAGACAGATTTTGTTTTCCTGCCTTATCTGAAAAATAAATTGAAAATTTAATCGAAACATGAAATTTTATAAAATAAAAATTTTGTTATTTTATAATTTTTCTACAATATTTGGATAAAGTTTTAACCAAAAGGTTTTCAATACCCCTCTGAATTTGGTATAATTTTGGAATACTAAACATACTCCGATTGGGAAAAATTATATTTCAATCGAAAGGGCTAGTCGAGCTGAGTCGAATGACATCAAAATTTCGATTGGGACTTAACCATGGGCCGAGATACAGGGCTCGAAATGGTCAAAAACCATAGCGCGGGGGGGGGGGGGGGGGGAGCTCATTTTGGGAGTAAAAATTCGAAAATGCAAATTATACCTCATTCGAAAGAGCTCACCGAGCTGAGTCGGAAAACACCAAAATCAACAAAAGCCGCTCGATTTGACAAGGTTATGACCGTTGGATTTTATCCTCTACATAGAGTCTACGCTGAAAAAAGTTTTTGCCGCTGCGGAGGAGGCCGGGCATGTCGAGCGGAACGACGAGCCGCTTCGATACGATCCCCGCGAGCGAAGCGAGCACGACCGCAGCGAAGCACGGTCATAGTGTAGCGAAGACTTGCCCACCTACCCTCCGTAGCAACACAAAAATAGTTTTTCCAGCGAAGATTCAGTTGGTCATAACTTAGTTCATAATCATCCGATGGAGCTGATTTTGGTCTCATTCAAGTCAGCTCGTCGAGCCCTTTCGAATGAGCTATTATTTGTACATTCGAATTTTTCAGCCCAAAAATCAGCCCACAAATTCGACCATTTCGACCCTGTATCTCGGCCCATGCCGTCGTCACAATCGAAATAAATATGGACATAATTACCTAATGAGTTTATTTTTAGCATCATTTTCGATAAAGATACTAATTCGTTTTTTATATCTTTAAACACGTCCATTTTACTAACTGATTTTTTAGTATTTGTTTCCATTGTAGATGCTTTGACATGTCTGTCTGATCGTTCAAATTTCTTTTTGGGGGTTTTATTTTCATTTTTAATTTCCTCCTCTTTTTTTATAACTTCCTCACAATATTTAAGCGCTTCTTTTATTTGTATACCAACCTTTTCCAAAATATTAGCCTTAAATAAATAATAAAAGATTGCCTGTTTTCTCTATAAAAAGTGGTTAGAAAACCATCTCCTCAAAGTTTTTAAGGTAATTATTACGGATTTTGATTCAAGTTGGCGTAACAACGACTTTATACTTATAGGTATAGGTGGGCGGAAATATAAGGACGGAAATATCGTTATTGCTTTGAGAAAAATAACCTCTTGCGTCTATGTTTGTTTAGCAAGTAAAATTTTTTTCTTCAATATGGCAATGTACAATCCGAGATCCAGTGACCGTGGGCCCAGGGTGATTCTTTTAACATCCAGGTGGTCGCAGGATCGAAGCATGCCCGGGATTAACCTTTTACCTCTTACTCCTATCTTTAAATTGACTATTTGCTGCGAGTTATTATTTCTTAATTACCTTTTCAACGTCTCCGACTTCTGGGCCTAAATTAATTTGTTTTTTATTTACAAGTTCTACAATTTTTGTTATTTGAAATAACAAAACAATAAAAAATAATTTATTTTTGTATATCATTTTTTTTCATAAAAACAATTTTTAAAATAACTTTATTTAATATTTTAAATTTTTATATTTTCTGTAAAAATGAAAATTTAACTAAAATTCAAAAGAAATTTAATAAGAGAAAAATTATTGTATTATTTAGACTGTGGAGGTTAAGATGCCGAACTGGATTTTGCGGGATCCTTCCCGAAATCCCGTATTTTAAGCAACGAACGGATTTACAGGATTTACGGGATTAATCCCGTGTGATCCTGTCCCGCTCTTTTTATATAAAACCCCCGAAATCCCGCGGGATCCCGGTAAATTATAGAACGGGATTAAGGGATTAACCTTGGGATCCTGTCCCGTAAAAATGTTGAAAAAAATCCCGTTACGGGATCCCGGGAATGCGATTTTTCCGCACTCTTGTATTATCTATTTCTGTAGAAATCCCTTTTTTTAAATAAACTTTTGTTCACTTTTCTAACTTCTGAAAGTTTAAAAATTGTTTATAGGCAAAAAAAAAAGGCTTTTTTATAATAAATATTAATTTATAAAAATTTCCAAATTCTATAATAAATAAAAAATTTATTTAAATGCCCAAATAAAAATTTATTTAAAAAATTTTTTTTAATAAATGCTAAATAAAAAATTTTTTCTCTCTCTTTTTTTCACTCTTCTCTCTACATTTCTATTGTTTACCTTATTCGATTCGCGTGATCGGTGGGGGAAGACGTCAATTGCTGCCAGACCGAATTTTTGAATGAGAGGGGGAAGAGGGAGATGGCAGGGAAGGGGGGACAGGGAGGGAGATGGCAGGGAGGGAAGGAGGGGGGTTAGCAGGGAGGGAGGGAGATGACACGGAGGGAGGGGGAGGCAGGCAGGCAGGGAAGGGGGGAGGCGGGCAGGCAGGGGAATTTTAAAAATAAATCAATATTTATATAATTAATTAATAAAGGGGGGAGGGAGGCAGTGAGGGAGGGAGGCAGGCAGGCAGGGAAGGGGGGAGGGAGATAACAGGTAGGGAGGGAGATGACAGGGAGGGAGGGAAGAGGCATGGGGGAATGCTAAATGTGGAATTATGTAGAGGGAATTTTAAAAATAAATCAATATATATTTAATAAATTAATTAATTAAAGTTTTTCTTAAATTTTTGCAACTTTGTTTTGAAACTTTCTTTTGAGCATTTCTCCGGAGTCCGGTAAATGAGATAACTTAAATAAAATTTAAAATTATTTTTTATCAAATAATAGATGAACGGAAACTTAACTTCATTAAGAAAATAATTATGGACAAAGCACTTCATTGGTTCCTCAATGTATTTGTTGATAATCGGGATTATATACAGGGTGCGTAAAAAGTTCCCGGAATTTTTTAAATTTCAACTATCTCAGCGGTCGGATTTCATTTTGAAAATTTGTTATGACCATTTATTTACAAGATTCTTATAAACGTTTTGTATGTGTAAACTTATTTTTATTTTGATGTAAAAGAAAATAAATCCATTTTGATTAATTCCGGGAACTTTTTACGCACCCTGTATATGCAAATCTAATATCCGTTTTTTCTTTTTTATTAAAATATTGTAGATTTGAGCGAAAATGTAAAAGATGGCAAATATAAATACGGCAAAGGTCCTCAAGATTCTGGCAGTACCCAATGAGTTTAATATAAGTTACTATTTATTTGTATTTTGCATCTATAAAACTTTTATAAGTAAATTTAATAAATATTTGAGAGTTAAATAATTACAATAAGATTAATTTTATTTAAATATAAAATGTCAATTTAAAAATTAATAATTAAAAATTAAATTTAAAATGTATTTTTAATTATATTATTTATTTAATAATGCTTTATCTCTTCAACTAAATAATTATATATATTTTCCAAATCATTATTTTTCAATCAAAAACATTCAATTCCCCCCTTTACAAGCTTGAATTGGAATTTTATTCTCCTTATCCAAAACAATCTTAACCTTTACACCGTTAATTTCAATAATAGTTTCGTGTGTTCCTCGATTATAATCAACAAGATTGATTTGACATTTATTTCCGGCAAAGAAAGGAACTTCTTTAAATGGGACTTCGATTTCCATTCCATTAGAAAATGAGAATATCAATTCTCCTGTCATTTTCTTTCCAGATAATTGACACTCAACTTCTTGTCCATCATTTGGAGCAGTACATTTATTATTTCCTTCTTTTAAGGTTATTGAATATTTAGTTGTTCCACCAGTAACAATTAATTTATTAGCCTCTCCAGGCTCGTTTTGAGCATAATTGTTTGTGGGCGCATGCATTTTATTGTCTTCAATCGGCACAAATTTGCCTACAAAACAAGTTCCAGTCGAGATGCCAATAACCAATGAAATCAAAAAAATAGTTGAAATGATTTGGGGGAGAATTGACATTTTTGAATGTTTTTTTTTGAAAGAGAAGAAGATATATTTTTATTTATTGTTTGAATCTGGATATATTCTCTATACCTCTTTATATATATGTTTTTATCAGGAATTTCATTAATTTAAATTTATTACATCATATAATTAATTTGATTAGCTATTTCCGATTTATACAAAAAATACCTTCATTTAACTTTTATTTTATGAAATTCTTGTATTAGACTATTAGTGATAGGAAACAAAAAAACAAATTTTCAAAATTTAATATTTAAAATTCAATTGAATATTTGTTTTTTATTCATCATAGTGTATTTAATAATATGATATATGATTTTTTATCATATGATGTAATAAATTTAAATTAATTAAATTCCCAACAAAAAGATACATATAAAGAGGTGTAGAGAATATATCCCAATTCAAACAACAAATAAAAACATATATCTCATTCAAAAAACTCATTCACAAATGCCAATTCTCCCCCAAATCATTTCAACAATTTTTTTGATTTCATTGGTTATTGGCATCTCAACTGGAAATTGTATTGTAGGCAAATTTGTGCCGATTGAAGACAATAAAATGCATGCGCCCACAAACAATTATGCTCAAAACCAGCCTGGAGAGGCTAATAAATTAATTGTTACTGGTGGAACAACTAAATATTCAATAACCTTAAAAGAAGGAAATAATAAATGTACTGCTCCAAATGATGGACAAGAAGTTGAGTGTCAATTATCTGGAAAGAAATTGACAGGAGAATTGATATTCTCATTTTCTAATGGAATGGAAATCGAAGTGCCATTTAAAGAAGTTCCTTTCTTTGCCGGAAATAAATGTCAAATCAATCTTGTTGATTATAATCGAGGAACACACGAAACTATTATTGAAATTAACGGTGTAAAGGTTAAGATTGTTTTGGATAAGGAGAATAAAATTCCAATTCAAGCTTGTAAAGGGGGGAATTGAATGAGTTTGATTGAAAAATAATGATTTGGAAATTATAAATAAAATTAAATATTTAGTTGAAGAGAGAATGCACTATTAAATAAATATTATAATTAAAAATACATTTGAAATTTCTAAATTTAATTTTTAATTATTAATTTTTAAATTGACATTTTATATTTAAATAAAATTAATTCTTTTGTAATTGATTATTTTGCAAAATAAAAATTAATTTGCAAGAAAAAAATTTTTTAAATAAAAAAAAGTCCATAAGCACTTTTATATAAAAAACGTATTGCATTTGCATTTAAAGCGCTATGCTTGTAAATCAGGTGCGGCGCTAGTCCCGCAAAATACGAGACACGAGATTCACGAGATACGAGATTCTCAATAAATATGAAATTTCACGAGATACGAGACTAGCGCCATCCCTTATGTTTATCCTTTGATATATTAATAATCAGGAGATTTGGCGGATACCGGTGGATTATGACAGATTATTATTTTATCTGCGTACTGGATTTGTAGGTAGCATTTCCCCGGTATCATTCTTATTAATCTTTTTAGCATATTATAAGGGCTTTCAGACAAACAAAAAAAATTTACTTGTTTTTCGACATATTTTACATCTCGCATGATTATTTATTTAATTTTAACAGGTAAATAACTTTTAACAGTTGGATTTACGCATTTTTGAGTGAAAATTATGATGATAAACTTTTGATGAAATACTTTTGGTATAATAATAAGCGAATATCATTTACTCAGAGGTTCATAAATTTTAACATCAGAATGTTTAGATTTTCATTTGTTTTTCAAAAGATATAAAAATGAATTGTTTTTTTATAAAACCAAGCTTAACAGATCCAGGAAATAAACAAAAAAAAGTTGAGGACATAATTAATTTTTATATTTGTTTGGTAGTGAGTGTTAGTGTATCTCGTGTCTCGTAGCAAAATACGAGACACAAGATACGAGACTAACGCCACCCCTGTTGTATATAGCTGCCAGGCGATAGATGAAAAAGTGGGTGGAGATTAATGTATTTGGTTGTAGGATTTAAGCTAGGGAGATGTAGGAAAAAATATTTATTTATGTTTGTCTAGGGAAAATTATGCGCTTCTTTCCCGACTATAAGTCAAATTTAAGAATGGATGGCTTACTACCCGGAGTTTATCTTAAGCGGCGTTTGACATATGGGCTGCATTCCTATTGTTTAAATAATTTATATGTTTAATTATAATAGATATTAATATTTTATATTTAAAATAGCTGATTAAACAATGAATCTATTTATTTTAAATATAATTATTTTAATCAATTTAACAAGTAAATATTTATTTTTAATTAAATTATTATTTTAAATTTAAATATTTACATTAATACCGTATTTTCTAAAATAAAGCCCCATGCTAAATTAGTGCCCCACCCTAAAATAGAGCCCCACTTTGGAGGATAGTTCAAATTTAGAGCCCCATGCTAAATTAGAGCCCCACTCTAAAATAGAGCCCCACCTCACTTTTTAAATTTACTTTTATTCCAAATTGGTAAACAAACTTGTTAAAAGGTGAGTAAAAGGGGAGAGGGGTTGGATGTGTAAATGGATGTTAGTGAATTTGGGGATTGAAAGGAATATCGAGAGATTAAAATTAAGAGGGTTGGGGGAGCTATTTTGATTAAATGACCTTGCCAGAGCAATCCGAAGTTTAGCACAAACTGCCATTCTGAGAAAAGCCGGTTAAGGAATTTAAGTGTCCATTCGGGGGATATTGAATGAGGCAAATTTAAAAGGATTAAGTGATATTGTAATATTTTGGTGAGTAAAAGTGTGTCAGTCCGAAAAAGCATGTCAGTAGTCCTAGTGTCTGATTCTGAGGGAAGACGTCTCCCGATCAAAACTCCCCTATATCCTGCGCTTGCCTATGTCCTATACTTTGCGGAGTTCACACAAGGAGGCTTGTGAAACTCCAATCCAATTACCCCATTTTGAAGGCATTGGGAAACGGGACCAACCGCTTTATTGTTATTTATTAAGAGTTTAAGGGGAATAATGGGATTTGAGGGAATAAAGTATTATTGAACATTAGGGTATTTTAAGGCGAAATTTTTGAGAGCCTTGGAAGGCCAAGGAGTTAGCTTTCTTTATTTTCAACGCCGCAGAAGAAACTTTTGGAAAGATAGACAAAATCTTACGTCTGCAAAATTTATTGAAAGCCGATAATTTTTCCTAAATTTCGTGAATAAAAAGAATCTATTTTTCATTTTTTTAATTTGAAATAATTTGAAAAATAGGTTGAAATTTAGAGCCCCATGCTAAATTAGAAAAATTTATTACCCACCCTAATATAGAGCCCCACTCTGGAGGATAATTGAAAAATAGAGCCCCATGGGGCTTTATTTTAGGAAATACGGTAATTTAACAAATAAAATTAAAGTAGTAAACAGTGGTTGTGTTCAATGTACTGGGCGGGGACAACAAACAAATTCCCCACCTCGTGGTGCTGAGTCAACACATCAAACAAATATTGGGGCATCCTCTTCAACACAACCCCAGCATGGTAAAATATATTTATAAACTTTTAAATTTTTGTGGAAACTCAGCCAACCTTTAAATGAACCGTTAGTTACTGTTATACATACTAAAATATAAAATAAAAAAATTTCTACAAAAGTTCAGAAAACCGAAAATCTAAAAAAAATTTAGAGGAAACTGAATATGTGGATGGGCATAGATTGGTTCTAATACCCAACATAAACTACAACAATGGAGAAGCAAGAACAAGAAATTATGGTGTCTTGGTATACGATTCAAGAAATATATTTAGTTATGGGCAAGTAAATGTTGGTTTTGAAATAAAATTACAGATTCATTACTAAATATTAGGGTTTCACCGGAACCGGATCGAATTTGTGTCCGGTTCCCGCAACCAGAACCCGAACTTCCGGTAATCTCTAATTGTTATGTTATAGATAGTCAAATCTTGATAATACAATAAAAATATTTTATAAAACGAGTTTAATATTAGGTAAACTTTGCTACGTATAAGAATCTGAGAGATGAGAAACTGATCTTAATGGAAATAATATTATCTACAAACACCTTTTTGGCAAATAATGCTTTAGAAATTTTTAAACATTTTGCACAATTGAAATTTACTAGAATTTTTTGTATGATTGGACAGTAAGTAGTTATTAAGCAATATAAGAAATAATTCTATTGAGCAATATAATTTCACAAAATGTTCAAGGAATGCTTCTGGAAGGTGGAGATCAAACTTTGGAGAATTATTTTTTAAATATGCCTGGTTAGATTTTAATAAATTATTAATGAAAATTTAAAAAAAACTAATTTAATATAAATTAAAGATTAAAAATGATTTTATTTTGAAAAAGTTTTTATAAAATTAGTGTTCAGCGAGGTCAAGGTTTTTCGAAAAAACCAAAACCGAGGATCACCGAGACTGAAAAATGCGGGTTCGAGGGTCAAATTTCAGGCGAGGCCTCGGCGAGGCCCCGACCTCGCACAACCCTATATAAAATAAAAATTTTAGATCGAAGCCCATCAAATATGAAGAAACTTTTGTATCAAATGGCATTAGCAGTAGAGCAATTCCATAATGGAAGTAAATTTTAATATACATAAATAGCAAAAATAAATATTCAAAAATTAAAATTTAGGTGCTTTACATCTAAATATCAATCCTTCTAATTTTATTTGTGACAATGAAAATGGATCAAATGAGTGTTTTGTAAAGTTAATCCCTGGGGTAAACTCTATTTTATATGATAGTTCTAGAAGAAATATAGAGTTGGATTGGACTTATGGCTCAGAAACCTATAAAAGTCCTGGATATAGACATAATCAAAATAATCACTACGAAGTAATTTTTCATATATAATTAAATAATCAGATCATGACTGCCAATCGGACAAACGGCAAAATCAAATATTTGATCAAATATTAAATTTTTTAAAAATTTGAAATAAAAAATAGTTGTCCTCGGTGAGGTCTTGGCGAGGATTAAGACCGAGGGTCCGCGACCGAGGACCGGTCAGACCGAGGAGATTCGAAATTGGCGAGGATATCAGCCTCGGCAACCTCGCGCAATCCTAATTTTGAGTGATATTCCAAGAAGAGGGTTGTGGGTTAGTTTACCCGCAGCTGCGTGTAATCATCGAGTTCTGAACGATTTTTTTCGTATAAGGGTTAACCCTCAGTTCGGGGTTTTATTACCTCTAAGTCAAATAAATCAAATTTATTAATAAAATAAATAAAAATGATTGTCTTTATTTTGCTCACTTTTTCACCTAATCTAACACTCAATTTTACGTTTTTATTTTTTTACAAATTCAGGTTTCTCAAAAATCAGACGTTTATTCACTCTGTTTAGTTGCTCTTGAATTTGTATTACGATCAGCAAATTCGCAACGATATCGCTTAATTGATTCACACTTTAATAACAATTTAGTTGTTGATAGTTTAATAATTAATTTATTATCCGATAGACCTTCTACTAATTATGATCATAGAGCAATATTAACTAATCAGGGTGAGAGTTGGATTTGGACAAATGATTTAATTGGGACCCTCCGGGTATTTTAATTTTTTAAATAATTAAAATTAATTTTTAGTTAATTAATAATTTAAAATAATTTTAAATTTCCTTATCTTTCCTCAATTTGTTGGGGTTTTATTTTGAATTCCCTCACTTACACTGGGGTGCAAAATGTAAAATATATAAAACTAAATGTATTTAAAAATAATTTATAGTAGAATTACTATTTTCAAAATATTTAATTTAATTTTTAAGTATTGTTTAAAGTCGCGTCGTGAACATACGGATATTGCCCATTTATTAGACCATTGGGGGCCACCATCTCCACAACAGAATATTCTCCCTCAAGATGAAGATGATTTTACTAGAGATTGAAACAATATTTTTAGATGAGAGTCAAGACAAATTTTTAGTCAAACTGTAGGGGGCATTTATTTAATTTTGGAATTTGTGCATGACATTTTA